TTTATACCCTGCGGAGCTTCATTCCATGCCCCCAGACCCCCACACTGCCCCCCCTCCCCTGAATCCAACCCCCAGCAAGCCTCACCTTCCGCATCCAGTGACCCCTGCACTCAGCCCCACCCCCTGCATCTCATTTTCACCCCTCCGCCCAGGCTGCCTTCCTGCACCCAGACCCCACCCGAATCAGCCACAATCCCACATGCATCTGGTTCACCCTGACTAGCCTCCTGCACCCAGACACCCACCCCACTGAACCCTATGAAGCCAGCATCTGGATCCAAACCCCGCCAAGCGAGTACCTGCACCTTTTCTGTCTACCCCCAGAAACACCCCCACAAGACCTTGTTCATCTAGTTCTCCCCTGCCCCCCCCGCCAAGCCACCCTGCACCCAAATTGCCCCACCCAGAATCCTATCACTCCTACCTGGATCTTCCTTTACTAAGCCCCTTCACACTTGGATCCTGCAGGTCTGCTCCTGCCTGCCTACACCTAGTGTGCTTGGCACGGAGGGGCAGGGCCCCGGGGTGTTTCTGGGGCAGTCCTGGTCCTTATGCTGTGTCAGCATCAGGCACAACTTTAACACTGAGTCCATGTACGGGGCAGGCAGAGTGATCTCCTACCTCCGCACAGGCACTGTGGAGCCTCCACATTTAGCTATTTATTGACAAATAACACTGGCAAAGTTTTGCAGATTTGTAATATTTTTGGTGAAGGATATCCCCAAGAGAGTGATATTGCACTAGTGCTTGTGTGTACGCATGTGTGTGCGTGTGTGTACCGAATCCCCACCACTGATGGGTGAATTTCTCTCTCCTTGGCACAGGTTGGCGGGGAGCTCTACACCCTCCCGCTGGCTACAGACGATGGGAAACTTCGGCTCAACCAGGAGGGGAACAACATCATTCTCCAGTCTGCTGCTGGCCTGGGAGTCTTTTTTGACTCTGCCACCTACCTCCGAGTGTCCATTCCCAGCACCTACAGGGGACACCTGTGTGGTCTGGCTGGCAATTTCAATGGTGACAAGAATGATGACTTCCTGCTGCCCAATGGAACGAGCACACAAAGTCTGAGCGAATTTATCGCTGCCTGGAAGGTGCCCGTTGAGGGTGCCACGTGCTCTGATGGCTGCGGTGACAGGTGCCCCGTGTGTGATGCAGCCCAGACAGCGCCGTACCAGGCGGAGAGCTCCTGTGGGTTGATCAAAGCCACCTCAGGTCCCTTCAGAGACTGCCACTCAACGATCAGCCCTGCCAGGTACTTCAGCAACTGTCTTCATGACATGTGCACCGCCAACGGGATGGGAGAGACCCTCTGCCAGAGCCTGCAGGCCTACGCGGCCGCCTGCCAAGCTGCCGGAGCCAGGATCAGAGCCTGGAGAACGGCCTCCTTCTGCCGTGAGTGCCCAGAGCAACCTGTAGTCCTGGTCTTCCCACTGGCTTTATTTCCAGCCCATTAGCCCCCCCACCAAGTTTTTTTTTCTGATGGCAACTTGTGGTTTATTAAATCTTGGGGTGTTTCTGGCCCCACTGTAGCCATGTCATCTGTATCAACGGTGGAATAAGATCCTCCGGAAAAGGGCGCTTTTTCTGGAGGATCGGGGCCAGTGTAGACGCTCTTTTCCGGCTTTTCTAAAAGCCGGAAAAAAGCGGCGGACATTTTTATTTAAATGCTGTGGGGGATATTAAAATCCCCCGCGGATTTCCCTATTACGATCTCTGAAATTACCATGCCCCTTTCGGAAAAGGGGCCAGTGTAGACGTAGCCCAGCAGAAAATGTGACTATGTCTCCAAGGGAAATTATTGTAAAAACCTTTTCTCCATTCTCGTTCTTTCTTGCTTCTCTCTCTTCAGCCCTGGCCTGCCCAGCCAACAGCCACTACGAGCTGTGCACCAGGTCCTGCGATTTCACCTGTGCTGGCTTGTCTGCCCCTGCCCAGTGCACTGGGAAGTGCTTTGAGGGCTGCCAGTGTGATGCCGGCTCCATGTTCGATGGGGAGGAGTGCGTGTCCATGGACGGGTGTGGCTGCATGTACAGTGGACGCTACATCAAGGTGGGTTCTTGCTGTTCTATACAGTTAGTGCCTCTGGACTCTTAAAATAAAATAACAGAGTTGAATTGGTCAAAAGTATAGTGGTAGAAATGTAGCCGTGTTAGTCTGATGCAGCTGAAACAAAAAACAGGACTGTGTAGCACTTTAAAGATTAACAAGATGGTTTAATAGGTGATGAGCTTTTGTGGGCCAGACCCACTTCCTCAGATCAAATAGTGGAAGAAAATTGTCACAACCATATATACCAAAGGATAAAAAAAAAAATGAACACATATGAAAAGGACAAATGATATTAGAGGCAACCAGAAAGGACATTGTCTCAACGACTTGATTACCTGCATCCTGCTTCAAAGACCTTTTAAGACTTCACTTCAAAGAGAATCCTCTGAACTGTCATTCATGCTTAAATTCGACACTTTACACTCAAATTTGAATAAAGACACTAATTATCTTACCCATTACAAAGATAGCTTCCCCAATTATCATCTCTAATATCATTAGCTCACAGACATTTACCTCCCTCCCTTCCCCCCCTCAATCTCCCTTCTATTCGGAAATTTGATTTGTCCTTTTCATATGTGTTCATTTTTTTTTTATCCTTTGGTATATATGGTTGTGACAATTTTCTTCCACTATTTGATCTGAGGAAGTGGGTCTGGCCCACGAAAGCTCATCACCTATTAAACCATTTTGTTAGTCTTTAAAGTGCTACACAGTCCTGTTTTTTGGTCAAAAGTACGAGCTTCCTAAGAGTTTCCAGGGGATTCCGCCACGTAGAACACAGCCTGTCAGTATAACAGACCGAGGTTTAATTTTTTCATCTTCATCCCCTGGTCTTTGATTTTCATTCATGTTTTTCCTTCTCTTCAGAAGTCATTTCCATGTCCCATCATCATGATCTGTCACCCCGACCTTCCTTCTTGCCTGTGATCGATCAAATCTTCTTCCGCTGTGCTTTTCTTCTTTCTCTGGTCACTGCTCTTATCCTCTCTATGTTCCCGTCTACTTGGCCTGCCTCGTCTTGTTGGATGTTCAGCTCTTTGGGGCATGGACTGTCTCATTAGGTGTTTGCAGAGTGTCTCTGGCACAATGTGCCATCATTCTTGACTGGCCCCATGGCACTGCCATAATAAATAGAAAAAGGACTATCCTTGTTTCGTGGGTCATGACCATTGTCTTTTCCTTCTCTCTTGGGTCAGCACTGACATCCTTCGTCTCTTCCTTCTTTCTGTCCCTGTCCCTGTTGTCCTGGAGTTGATTGTTTCCTTGATCTGCCAGGCATCCTTTGTCTTTTCTTTCTTTCCTTGATTGGTGTCCTCTTTGATTGGCACTATCATCCTTCAAAGTTTCTGTTTCTTTGATCATCACCATTGTCCTTTATCGTCTTCACCTTGTTTCTTGGGTCTTCCTCTCTTAACCTTTGTCTTTCTGTTCTTTTTGGTCATTATCATTATCATTTGTATTTCCCATTCTGGTCTTCAGTTGGGGAGACTTCCCTTAGGCATTTTGACATTGTTGCAGTTGCTGTTGGTCTTTGGAAGTTAATATCGGACCTGACTGAAAGTTTGGAACACTGGTTATTTTATTGTTTATTTTGGAATTTCCCTCAGTCCCGGGAGAGTGTCATTTCCAGTGACTGCTCAGAGAAATGCACTTGCCACCCATCAGGGGGGCTTATCTGTGAGAAAACCAGCTGCCTCGCGGATGAGATCTGTGTCCTCAGGGATGGGATGCATGGCTGCGTGAAGCAGGAAGGCCGGTGCATAATCTCTCCAGGTGCCTACTTCACGACCTTTGATGGCGCCAAAGGGAAACTCCTCTACAGTGGGATGTACAAAGTGGCCTCTCTCTGTGACGAGAGCTCCCCTTCCTGGTTCAAGGTGGTGGTAGACATCAGCGAATGCACCAGTGATGGAATACCAGCTGGTGCAGGCATCTTTGTTTTTTTCCGAGAAGCTATCATCACTGTGAACAACAACATGGGAACCTGGGTAAGACGGGGCTGGGTTAGAACATTCTGAGCCAAGGGGACAAACATTTCCTACCTCAGTCAGAGCATGAGTGAAAACTCTTCACTGTGATCTAGTGTCTCCAAGGCCTTGATAAATATTAATGAATTAATCCCCATAACCCTTACCTGAGGCTAACATAATGGGTAGCAGGGAAAAAATACCAGAGTTAGTTGGGAATTTTCTGACAAAATGTTTTTCATTAGGAAATATAAATGTTTCAAAACTGAATCTGTTTGGGAGGATCAATTTCAATAAATTTCCCGATTTAAAAAAACGTTGAAAAATGTGCAAAGAAACTGCTAAAATGTCCCATTTTGACCTATTCTAAATGGCAAGTTCTGTTTTTTTCACTTCAAAACAATTTCTCATTTAGAAATGTTACGTAATTTAAACAAACAAAAGTTTTAAAAAATGTAAAAATCAAAATGAATCATTTCAAAAATGTGGAAATGAAACATTTCAATTGATCTGCTCCAAAACAATTTTCAGATTAGCAGGTTTTTTCCAACATTTTGACTTTTCTTCCCATTTCAGAATGGCAAAAAAAATGTAAAAAATCTTAATTATTTTCATGGGATGTGAAACAATTTCCCTCCCTCTCTAGAAAATAGAGACCCCCTAGGTCTGCTGAAAGGAAAGGACAGGGCCCTGTATCTTTCTAGCTCTGGCAGAAAGTACCTTTACCTCATGCTTTTGATGAATGCCGCGTCCGCTATGGTGTCAACCTGCTTTGACCATTAAATGGGGCAGAAACTGAGGCATAAACACATAAAATGTCTTGCCTAAGGTCACATGGGAGTGAGCTGAACAGCTGGGAATAGAACCCAGGAGTCCTGGCTACCATCAGATCCCACCCTGCACCTGGAATAATGCCCCGGAGTCCCCTGCAGATGTATCCACTAAATCATACTTTCGTCTACAGCTTGGACTACTCTAGAGCCATTGCCTTGTAACCTGCCCCATGGACTCTAGCTCAGTCCTGTTGCTCCATCTCAGTCACTCCCACATCCCCAGCTCTCTGACCTCCCCCTTTGCAGGTGAACGGGCGCTCGGTGCGACTCCCGGCAAAGGTCTCTGACGCGGTGTCTGTGAGCGAGTCTCAGGGTGGTGTGGCTGTGGTCCAGGCCCCGGGGGTGCAGGTGCTGTTCAGCCCCGGCGGGCAGGTGACAGTGCGGGTCGGCGAGAGCCTGGCTAACAAGCTGTGCGCATCCTGCGGGAACTTCAACGACGACGTCTCTGACGACCTGCGGCTGCCCAGCGGGCGAGTCGTGGGGAGCATCGCGGAGGTTGTTGATGTCTGGAAGGCCAGAGACTTTTTAGGATGGTGAGTAGCTCTGCTGATGCTGCTGGTAGCCAGTGCCTAGCAATGATTGTCAGTAGTTGGGGTGTGGAGTTGGGCTGATTGTATAAACCCTGGGCAGTGCCAGAGTATAGGGACAACCCTGTCCTGGGACCAGCAGGCTGTAGTAGCTGGGCATTCAGTGGGGATTCTTCATCTTTTCTGATTCTGTCCACAGTGACTGACACACAAAGGCAAGATACTTCTCTGGCTGGTAAGTGACCTGCTCGTTCTAATCCACCATGACATCAGCTCTGCATACACCTGATGGGTTAACGTCTGGGGTCATCGTCTCTAATTGCTTCACAAGTTTTTTGTGTCTTAATTCCTAAGTTTTTATTAATGCATAAGCATGGGCCAGAGTCTGGGCAAGGGGTGAGAACTGATCTATAAAGGGAGTGAAAGGGAGACTAGGTCCAACCCATTTCATTGTAAATGTCTTTTTGACCTAACTAGAAATGTCCATGGATAATTTTTGGTTTGGTTTAAATCATTTGGGTAGTGTGGGGCAAATGTTTGAAATTAACTAGCTTTAATTACCCTAGCATAAAGGTTATTTCATTTGGAGGCAATTTCCCCCTGCCTGTTTGACTAATTTCCCCCTTTTCCATTCTTTTTCTACTTGAAATACCAACAAGAAACAAAATGTTTGCATTTGAAATTAAATATATTTTTTTAATTTCTTCTTTGAAAAAAAATTCCAAGACCCAGAAAACTTTTGAAAACAATGTGTTTCTTTTTGTGAATTTTTATTTAAATTCAAATGTAATTTTAGAAGGAGAGCTTCTGAAGACAGATTATTTTATCCATCAGCAATGGCACCTCAACAGACCTCTTTCCCATTGTAGGATAAAATCTTGGCCTGACAGACATTCACATAGTTGCTCAAACTTATTTGCATATAATTCATTATACCTAGAGACACAGGCGGTATGTCTACACTACCCCCCTAGTTCGAACTGGGGGAGGGGATAATGTAGTCATACGGAGTTGCAAATGAAGCCCGGGATTTGAATTTCCCGGGCTTCATTTGCATAAAGCTGGCCAGCGCCATTTTTAAATGCCGGCTAGTTCGGACCCCGTGCCGCGCAGCTACACGGGGCACGAACTAGCTAGTTCGGATTAGGCTTCCTAATCTGAACTAGCTGTACGCCTCGTGGAAGCCTAATCCAATTAGGAAGCCTAATTCGAACTAGCTAGTTTGCGCCGTGTGTAGCCGCGCGGCACGCAGTCTGAACTAGCCGGCATTTAAAAATGGCGCCGGCCGGCTTTATGCAAATGAAGCCCGGGAAATTCAAATCCCGGGCTTCATTTGCAACTCCGTATGACTACATTATCCCCTCCCCCAGTTCGAACTAGGGGGGTAGTGTAGACATACCCAGGGACAGGATCTCCTGGGCAGTGTCCCTGTAAGCTGCAGGGCAGCACAGCTTCACCAGTGATTCATCAGCCCCACCCAATCAGTCAGCTCCCTGCATGGAACCCTGAGCCTCTGAGTAGGTGGAACTGATGAATCTCCAAAACTTGTTCATGTCCATTTTATCCACATTTGTCCCCATGCCAACATTGTTCTTTAGCGTCAATAGCCCCTGCCCCTCCCAGGTGTTTAGTTCCTGATGTATCTACAGAGGGCAGTCATATCCCCTCACCTCCTGGGTTAAAGAAACTAGGCTCTCTGGGTATGTCTACACTACCCCGATCTGTACACCTCGTTCCACGAGGCGTACAGATAGTTCGGATTAGAAGCCTAATCTGAACTATCTAGTCCGTGCCGCGTGTAGCAACGCGGCACGGGGTTCACACTAGCAGGCTTTTAAAAATGGCGGCGCCGGCTTTATGCTAATGAAGCCTGGGAAATTCAAATCCCGGGCTTCATTAGCAAGTTCGGTATGCATACATTACCCCGCTAGTTCAAACTAGCGGGGTAGTGTAGACATACCCTCTGTGTCTCCACTCTCAGATAGGCTCTATTCCCCTGCTCACCCTCCCAGCCATCCTGTGCTCCAGTTGGAACTCATCTTTAGTTGGGATTGGTCCTGTCTTGGGCAGGGGGCTGGAATTGATGACCTCCTGAGGTCTCTTCCAGCCCTATGATTCTATGATCTTTCCTGAGCAAGGGAATCGGTCTCATATATCAAACAAAGGCTAAGAGGTGACTCCGTCATGGTTTGTGAGGACCTTCTCTAGAAGACAGAGCTAGAACCTGGAGCTAGAACCTGAAGCAAGACAAATGTAGGTTAGAAATAAGGCCTGCCTAACATTTTAACAGGGAGCAGAATGACCTAGGGATGGGCCAGACTATCCACCACTTACAGACTTTTTTATAAGTTAAACTATTGGTCTAACAAAACATCATGGGACAGATGGAGAAATTACTGGGTAAGATTCTGTGGTCTGTGCTAGTTAGGAGGTCTGACTAGATCAGGACTGCAAGAGACCTTGAATTTATGAATCATGCTTAAGTTATTTGTATTGCACATGCTTCTGCACACAAAGTTTATCCATTTTACGAGCATACACTCATTATGCTTTTGCACATAGGGCCTCTCCTGCTTATGTGTACCGCATGTAACATTCAGATGCATGAGCATTTAACATCTATCCACTTGTTCTCAGAAGCTCCATTTTCAATGAAAAATGTCTAAAAGCAATCAGAAATCCATCGCCTCCAGTTTATTGGTTACCCCAAATCTATTCTAGATAAATCTCACTGGTCAATTTTGCATGGAGCGATATCTTGTTTAAAAGATGTATCAACAAAGAAAGAGCCCCAGGACAGCGTTTAGCAAGAGTGCTATTTCAAAGGATTTGAATTAGAAATATACATAGAGAAACCAAACAAAAACTTTACAGAAAACTCAAAGGCAATAAAAACTAATCTTCTGTGAAGCTTCAGAGAAGGCAGCCTACTCTGAGAAAATACACACAGTTTCAAGCCAGTTTTAGAACACCCGCCTACCCTAGGGCATCTCTTACATCCAAACCTTCCCCCACCACTTAGCCTCCAACCTTCCCCCCTCCCCCCGAACATTATGTTTGCACAGTCATAACCTCAAAAAGTTAGGAAATGCCAACATTAAGGTTGCCTTTGTAATCTTAATTCAATCCCCTGGTGTATATGTATTAGGGTCTTTAATTCCACAATCATGGACAATTATACCTGGTTTCATTGGGTATGTCTACACTAGCCCCCTAGTTCAAACTAGGGAGGCTAATGTAGGCATTCGGAGTTGCAAATGAAGCCCGGGATTTAAATATCCCGTGCTTGATTTGCATCTTCCCGTCCGGGCGCCATTTTTAAATCCCTTTAGTCCGAACTAACTGCCCGCAGCTACACACGGCAGTCAAATGTTAACTCGAACTAAGTCCTTAGTTCGAGTTAACTGTTATACCTCATTCCACGATTTCTCATTCCAGTGGAACTCCAAGGACTTGTTCCTTCATTTCTTAGTCAGAGAAGTCTGACCTGGTTTAGTCGTGACTCAGGGTAACTTTCAAAACCAAAGCTGCCTGGGGCAGGTGCCCAGCCTGGGGCAGGTGCCCAGCATGGGCAATTTCAGTTTGGCAAAGTTCTAAGCAACTCATAGTAGGGTCTTGTAGTAGGAAGTGTTGGGGAAACAGAACCATAGCTGGAGCCCCCAGCACAGCCTGTAGTGACAGTCCATCGACCTTCGGCCTGCTGCCGCCAGAAGGGGATGTATCATCATCCCAGTTGTACTGAGTGGGAAACTGAGGCACAAAACTGCAGAAGAACAGAACCCCAACCCCTTCCGTTCCAACTGCTACAGCTCACATCTGTCCCAGAGCCAGATCTAGAGTCCAGGCATCCTAACTCCTAGTCCCGTGTGCTCTAACCATGAGCCACCACACCACCTTGCGGCAAAACCAGGAAGTACTGACCCCTAGACACTGCCTCCCTGCTCTAACCTCTACATCACACTCCTCTCCCAGAGTCAAGACCGGAACCCCTGGGTCCCAGCTCCAACCCACTGATGCCTCCCCTGCCAGAGAGGAGAGTAACGGCTGCATCAGATAATGCGTATGCAAAAGGGGGCTGAATTAAGTTTACACAAAGCTACCTTAAGTGTGGCAATTCCTAAGTTTTGACTACATGATTTAGCTCCCATACGGTTCTTTGAAAGTGGCTGTTGTGTGTGAGTGCGAGAGAGAGCAAGCGAGAGAGAAGGGGTGTATGGGGATGGATAAATCGATCAATTGATCTATAGCCAGTCCCTCAGCCCACTCGCCTATAATGTACTCTACACATAGATAATCAAAATGCGTCAGTGAGGAGGGCATCATCCCACATACTGAGGGAGAAACTGAGGCACAGTCATACCACTGGCTTCCAGACCAGCCAACCTGATGGCTTGCTCCTTAGTGAATCTGGGTTTTCACACCCTTCTCCAGAGCGGTGGGAAAACTATGTGCCCCACTCGCCCCTCTGATGGGCTGCCTTTTCCCTCAGGACTCTGCCTCAGTGGGAAAGGGCAGCCAATCAGAGCCTGCTCTGTCAGCAAATGTCGCAAACAGCCCTCTGCTCCCCCATCCTGCAGGCCTGTGGGCCAGAGCCGGCCTGTTGATTAATTTCATCCGGTTTGTAGCAAATTCCCGCACCACCCTTCCCCGCAGGGCTGGAGCCATAAGCACCGGCTCACCCTGCGGCAGGGGTGGGGAGGGGAGGGGAGATGAGCCTCCACCCTTCACCCCTGGGCAGGTGAATTGAATGTCTCGTATTTCTCTCTCTCAAAAAGTCCCTGAACTTGCATTGCTTTTAGCTTGAATGAGAGAGCCCCAGGAAAGAGTTTCATTGTGGTTCGATGGCTGGCGGCAGATCAAAGGTTCCCGACCCCCGAGCAGGTGATGGGATGGCTTGGCTTTGGAAGGCACTGCTGTCCCTTTATCCCCTGTGAGCTGGGCGCTTGTGCGGCCGCCCAAGAGAGGTCCAAATGCCGCCCGGCTGATTAGCAGAGCACCCCCAACTCGGTTTATGCTTCTGCTTGTGGTGCACATTGCACAGGCCTCAGTGCACGTGCACATTTGTTCTGCACACGGATGGGAAAGATCTGAGGGTGCACTGCCCTCCGCAAAACCTAGCAGGGCCTGACCCTGCCCGCAAACTGAGCCGTGTGAGTGGAGTTTCCCTTCCCATTCCTGGTTATGCCCCTCCCATCTGTTCCTGGGGGGCTGGGCTGAGGGATTTGAGGGGTGGAGGGAGTGGCTGTTCTCAGCAGCTCCCCACACGAAACAGGAGACGGGGCAAAGGAGGAGGAGTGGCTGGGCAACAAGATAGCACCAGTGTCAAGGGGGCAGCTGGGCACAGGGGTCAGATGGCGGGTGAAGGGGGGGCAAAAGAATATGGCACCTGGGAGCTCATAAAGAGGGTCCAGGGGCAGGGCCAGTCCAGCCAGCACCACCTAGGCCAAGAACTGGGAGCTCCAGCCTCCCTAATTGGCTCTAACTGGTGGAGTACTGGGATGGGACGGGGGGAAGCAATGCCAGACCCTTTGCCTCCCCTGCTTGGCATGAGCATGCAGAAAGAGTTGGGGGCGAGTGGAGCAGCAGAGCAGGCCGGGGGCTGAGAGTGCCCAGGCAGGGCACACAGAAGGGGGCAGCCAGGGCACCATCCCCAGCTCATGCCCAGACGTGTTTTCTCTTCTAGCCGCGCTTCTAACTTTGTGCGAGGCAACCTGGAAGCTGCATTGGTCCCTGCACGTTAGATGGCACCAGGAATTCCCACCACAGAGAATGCTGGAGGCAGCTGGGACTCACCATTGCAGGCCATAGGTGTGGCTGAATCCTGGACTGATGTGTGCAGAGCTGTGTGAGGGAATCAGGCACGCCACTTGCCAGCTCTGGGTAGCTCAGTCTGGACACACGTGTGCAGCGTTTCTAGCTACCTATTGTCAGGGTTGAATTGTCAAAAGCATCCAAGGGAACCTGGCCAAAGCCGCGGAATTGAAAACAACAAAATATTCCACACATTTGTGTCAGTTTTTGCCAAATTGCTCATAAAAAAAACGGAGCACAAAACCAAAGGGCTTTGTCTTCAGGTTTTTAAAGCAAATTGTTTCCATTTTAATTTCAAAATCTCCTTTTATTTTATTTTTTAAAAATCCCCAAACATTTATAAATGGTCAAAATGCAAGTGAAATTATTCATTTCAAGGCCCAGCCATTTTTGTTCAACTTTTCAATGAGCCAAAAAATGAAACAAACAAAAAGCCATTGCAGTCCAGCCAGAAGAGGTTTCCCCCCCGACTTTTCAGAATTGTAAATGAACCACAAACATCCATTCTTTGCCCATCTCTGCTAGACTCGTAGACTTGGAGGCCATCTAGTCTGACCTCCTGCACATCTTAGGCACAGAATCTCTCCCAGCCACTCCTGTACCAGACCCCTCACCTCTGGCTGAGCCACTGACGTCCTGAAATCATGATGTAAAGACTTCCAGTTACAAAGAATCCACCATTTGCTTCATTTAATCCAAACCAGCGCATGACCCTGCCTGGCACTGCAGAAGAAGGCAAACAAACCACAAAGCAACTAGGGTCTCTGCCAATCTGACCAAAGGATAAATTCCTTTCTGACAGAGTGGACAGAGGATGGGTCAAGGCTGCTCCTGATGCTTGAACCTTTCTGGCTGTAGCAGCGGAGCTCTGGAGCTGGCCCATGACAAAGAGGTCCCGGGCCGATCCAAGGCAAGTGGGCTGTAACAGCTCAATTCCCCAACCTAGCACTTTGGGTATAGATTTGTGGGCCAGCTAGCAGAAGAAATTTTCTAAGAAGCTGTCTCTGTAACTCCCAGAGACAAACTTGTCCGCTTTCAGTTTCCCTGAGACCAAAAAGAAAGACGGGTTGGTTGCTGCCACCACCAAGTGTAAATAAAAATATAAAATAAGCCCTTTTCCAGGGAAGAGATTACTTGGAATTCCCTCCCTGAAGCAATCTCTCCCCCTACCCCAGCCTCTGTTTTGCTTGGAGCTGGAAAAACAGAGGTTAATCCATGGAGAACAATGTGACTCTGCTTCTCCCGGGAAACCTAGTCACGTAGGCTTAAAGACACACACAAAATATCAATACCGGTTAACTGAAACAAAAAGAAAACACTTCTATTATTAAAACAAGACTACTGTAGCAAGGATAGTAAATGACTGGGTGTTAAAAGCCATGGATTGAAATAGACTCAGGGAGAATCCCTGGGCTGTAATCCTTTGTTACAAAAGAGAAAAACAATTAACCAGCTCAGACATGAATTCCAAACCTCCAAACAATAAAAACAATAAAAACCTAATGGATTATCTAAACTTTTCCCTACTTACACATTTCAAAGAGTCTGTTCCTGGGAGAGACTGTCTCTCCTGCTACCTGGGGAAAAACTGCTCTGATCCAAAAACAAAGGAAAAAAATCCCTCTCTCTTTTTAAAATTCTTTATCTGCATTTCATTGGCTGACTGTCCAAAGCCCCCTCCCTCGGATGCCTCTCCAGAGTTGCTTAACCCTTTCCTCACTCTCCAGGTAAGTCAGACTCTTCTTAGCAGCTCCTATTCATGACATGGGGTCTTGGACCAGGCCACTCTGGCCACTGCAGGAGGGCTAGGAGAGATGTGCCTGGTTCAGGTCAGCCTCCCCCAACTACAAAACTGGAGGCTAGGTTGGGGGTGAAGCCCTTCCACCATGTAGCATTAGCTAATCATCAGTGCAGCTGCACAGCCCATGCTGGAGCCATGAAGGATACCATCTCTGAATGGTTACAACCCATACATGAGGGTAGCCCCATCTTAAAAGAAATCTTCCCAAACAGCTCCCCATCTTCATACCCATCATTGTCAGCAAGTTCCCCACTGAACGGGACACACCAGCCCAGACCCCAAGCAGGCAACAGATGTAAAAGCTGCAGACTTACCTCACTGCCACAAGGATTAACACTCACCCATACACCCATCACCCTTCACTCCCTCGCACACCTCTCCCAATGTCTGGTGTTCCTCAGCCAGGGAGCTGAGTGCCCCAACAAGAGCAAGGGGTCTGAAACCAGACCATGGGTCCCTCTCCAATGAGCTCTCATGGAAAACTGATCCAAGACAACACCAGTTCCGTGCCTCTAGGCGAACACCCTGCTGCTGCCCTGTCAAGGCTGGCCTGTGAAGCAAACCTGCCCCACACCCAGCACTTAAACTCTGCTGGACACTAACCAGCACGGGCTGAACACAGACACTGGGCATGGGGTGTTGTAGGTTCCACCTGCCCAAACTGCCAGATGTCTCCTGGCCCAGGCTCCACCTGCAGGCCCCCTCCTGCCTACAGTTTCCATGCCAGAGGCTGAGGCAGGCAGGTTGGGGGTTGCAATGTGCTCCCCGGGCCATGGTGCACCCACTGGTTCATGCCAGCTGCCCTGCACTTGACAGGCGTTTAGCTTCAGCTGAAGGATGCCCGGGGATGAGTTGCTTCATTGCTTTAACCTTTCAGCACGTCGTCCAGCACAGCAAGGCAGCACGAATTACCCAACTGAAGGAGAAAAATGAAGAATTGTTAAGTGGCCGAAGGAAGAATTCTTGCTAGCTACAGCCTAACACTTTAGAATTAGGGCAACTGATCGAAGTAATAATTATGGATGCGATTGCACTTAGCCAGAGGCCTCTATCTCACTTTTCCTCACAAGAGTGTTATTCTTTGGCCACTTTCTTCCCCTGAGGAAGCTTTGCCAAAACAATGCGACTGCTGACAAGACAAAGGTGAAAGCTTTGTTTATGGACTATGGTGCATGGAGGATTGTAGGTAACAGGAGAAGTTGATTAGTATGATGAGTGAGTCATTCTAAAAGTCCCTTTTATGAGAAAAAATAAGGTCAAGTTGACATGAAAACGCAATGACATAGAAACTGTATAAACATCAACGTCTGTGCAAATTGGCGCTTGCATTGTACTGGTTACCTAAGCAAAGGCACAATGCTGATTGGAGAAAGATGATAAACGTGTTCTGGGGGAATGGATGAGGATTCTAATGGAAAGAACACGAGTATAGGCAGGGGTTAGCAGCTCTGGCAGCCATGATGGAGTTCAGATGAGCTTCACAGTACCCTGCATAGAGAACAGGTCCCATATGAGGAGAGGCTAAAGCGACTGGGACTTTTCAGTTTGGAAAAGAGGAGACTAAGGGGGGATATGATAGAGGTCTATAAAATCATGAGTAGTGTGGAGAGGGTGAATAAAGAAAAGTTCTTCATTAGTTCCCATAATATAAGGACTAGAGGACACCAAATGAAATGAATGGGTAGCAGGCTTCAAACTAATAACAGACAGTTCTTCTTCACAAAGCAAATAGTCAACCTGTGGAACTCCTTGCCAGAGGAGGCTGTGAAGGCTAGAACTATAACAGAGTTTAAAGAGAAGCTAGATAAATTCTTGAAGGTTAAGTCCATAAAAGGCTATTAGCCAGGGGGTAGGAATGGTGTCCCTGGCCTCTGTTTGTCAGAGGCTGGAGAAGGATGGCAGGAGACAAATCGCTTGATCATTGTCTTCGGTCCACCCCCTCTGGAGCACCTGGTGCTGCCCACTGTCGGCAGACAGGCTACTGGGCTAGATGGACCTTTGGTCTGACCCAGTACGGCCGTTCTTATGTTCTTATAATAGGGTTTTTCAATCTAGCAGAAAAAAGTGTAAGATGAGCCAAAGGCTGGGAATCGAAGCCAGACAGAAAATAAGGCATTCATTTGTTGCAGTTAATCATTGGAACAACTTGCCAAAGTCATGGTTCATTCTCCATCGCTGGTGATTTTTAAACCAAGATGGGATATTTTGTTAAATGATCGGCTCTAGGATTTCCACAAGATGCACTGATGTCAGACAGTAGGAAGTCAGAGTTCTTGCGGAAATTCACGCGGCCAGTGTAGACAGCTGGCAAGTTTTTTCAGCAAAAGCAGCTGATTTTGTGGAAAAACTTGCCAGTCTAGACACAGCCTGAATGTTTGGCCATTTTCTCCTATTGGAAGTTTCCATTTTTTGACATTTTTGTCTGAATTTTTCTGGTCAAAGATCAGATTGTTTCAAGGTGGGAGGAAAAAGCCATTTTCAAGCCAGCTCTATCTGAACATCCATCCAGGGCTGTACATTCCGTGGGCCCTGCTAGCAGCCTGTCAAACCTCCCCTCACTCCGCCCCAAGAGAGTGGAGAGAGAGCTGCTTGGTGTTCAGAGCTCCATAGAGTCCCAGGCCGGGAGAGGTGGGTGTCCCCCTCGTATATCACAAACCAGGATTAATTCAGCTGTCTACACTGGCCGCGTGAATTTCCACAAGAACTCTGACTTCCTACCGTCTGACATCAGTGCTTCTTGCAGAAATACTATGCTGCTCCCGTTCAGGCAAAAGTCCCTTTTGCATGAAGCTTTTGTGCAAAAGGGCCAGTGTAGACAGCTCAGATTTGTTTTGCACAAAAAAGCCCTGATGGCGAAAATGGCAATCAGGGCTTTTTTGCGCAAAAGTGCGTCTAGATTGGCACGGACACTTTTCCACAAAAAGTGCTTTTGCGCAAAAGCGTCCGTGCCAATCTAGACGCTCTTTTCTACAAATGCTTTTAACAGAAAACTTTTCCGTTAAAAGCATTTGCGGAAAATCATGCCAGTCTAGACGTAGCCTCAGTGTCAGGAGAACTGTGGGTTCTGGTTTGCTCCGTCCCGCACTGGAAGCTGGCTGCTCAGGGTGCCTGGGTGCCCGGGGGGAGCACGCTGGTAAGAACCCAGCCTGCCTTCCTATCTGAATGTCCTGGGATCAACACTCTCCCACAGGTTCCAATAAAGCTGCAGCCAGCTGCTGCTAGGGGCGGAGTTATCCCTGTGCAGCGCTGAAGCAGCATTGTAGACCCTTCCCCCTGCCGGTAACCAGTGACCCCCACAGCCCGTATTCCCGGGTCCTGCAGCTCTCAGGCTGCTTCTTGTGGTGGAGGAATCCCCAGTGGTGATCAGAGCTGAGCTGTCTCCCAGGATAAAAGCAGCCCACAACTTGGGCATGGGAGGGGCTCGCTGCCTGCCTACCTCTAGGGTGCAGGGTAGATTTACAATGGAACATACCATGCCCTGGCAAGCCCCCCCCAACAACATGGGGGCCCCCAGGACCAGGTGGTCCAGCACCCCCCTCTGCCACGCAGGGAGGCCAGTCCCTCTGCAAGAGAGGGTGGGGGCAGGGGAGCAGGGAGGCTCACCTAAGAGCTGGCAGGAGGTGATGAGCAGCCCGACCAGGGGCTCGAAGGCTTCAGAGGAGCATGGGGCAGCCACCCTGCCCGCCAGAGAAAAGCGGCGCTTTGAAGCGGGAAAGCCCCGTTTCTCTGCAGCCCGGCTGTGCGGCTCCCCAGTGCTCCTCTGAAGCCTTCCAGCCCGGGGGCAGGGGAGCAGGGAGGCTCACCTAAGAGCTGGCAGGAGGTGATGAGCAGCCCGACCAGGGGCTCGAAGGCTTCAGAGGAGCATGGGGCAGCCACCCTGCCCGCCAGAGAAAAGCGGCGCTTTGAAGCGGGAAAGCCCCGTTTCTCTGCAGCCCGGCTGTGCGGCTCCCCAGTGCTCCTCTGAAGCCTTCCAGCCCGCGGTCCGGCTGCCCGTGGCTCCCGCTCCCGGGGGGGGTGCCCCC